TTTTGTATAATGACACAAATTTAAAGTTAATTTTGTTATACTGTATGTATGTTTCTACTCTTGTTTGGGTTATTGTGCTTATGCAACTCATTTTTAAAATGTAATTTATAATGAAAAGTACAGATTAATAGTCATCTATAATAATCAAACTTTTGGTCATGTTAGATATGTTTTCAAGATCATAAACAGATATATTTAGATAGATAGATGGTCTTCAAACACTTCAAAGACCTACAGAGTATGGCATTTAATATGTTTAGTAAACTAAGGCTTTTCATGACAATGAGACACATTTGCTCCTGGTAGCACCAATCTACTTCAGAGAGGATGATGAGCGTTGAAGAAACTCCATATGGAGTTTGTTTTCTTTATGGCAAAAGCTAGCCATGTGGGCAAAGAAACTGCCCTTGCCACAATTGCCGACAGTTACTGTCCAAACTGGACCAGCAGGATGCAAGAAAGATGACTGCCAAACTTTGCCAAGACAAGGTAGGACAGTCCTTCAAATTTCCCTGCTTCACAGGAAAGTCTGTCAGATATGTTAGGCCTGTAGGACAGAATTGGATGCCCCAACATTGCAGAGGAACTTTGAGTGACCATCCAGGCAGCCTGATGACCCTGTCATTAGGTAACATTTCACCCTTCTGGGGTCTTTGATGGAGTTGAAGACTAGATGGTTATAGTTTTCCTTAGTTATGATAAAAGGTAAATTAGATATGAAACTTTAGCCTCACCAAGATAAGATAGACAATAGAGTATTTTCTCTAATTTAACCAAATACGAACAGACTGGACACTGTAACTATAATTCTTACTTAATAACTGTTTTGTTGTATATAATTGTACTATGTTAAAATTAAAACCCTTTTTAATTAGACAAAAAGGGGGAATGCTATTGAATAATCCTCTTGTACAATGTAAAGATTTGTCACTCGAATTAACTTAATAAAATGCTAATTGGCCAGTAGCCAAACAGGAAATATAGGCAGGACAGCCAAACTAGGAGAATGATGGGAAGAAGAAGAAGAAGGGTGGAGTCAGAGGAGACACCAGCCAGCCAGCTGAGGAAGCAGGTCTTGCAGAAAATGAGGTAACAAGCCATGAGCCACATGGCAAAGCATAGATAAGAAACATGGGTTAATTTAAATGTAAGAGTTAGGTAGTAACAAGCTATCAGCCTGAGCATTTATAATTTATATTAAGTTTCTGAGTCAGTTATTTGGGAAGTGGCTGCCAGTTACTTGGGAACAGGTGGTCAGGATAGAAAAGCGCTGCCTACACATAGGTTTAAAGAACCAGGCCCAACTCTAATGTTTGAAGATTCATTCCAGACTTTCCTAAACCCATCAAGGGACAGGTCAGTTGGTAAAGACTCAGGAGATTCAAAAATAACTCACTCTAAGGTGTACTGGAGAACCAGCCTGTCTAAGTAAGAACATCACCACACTTTATGATGCCATGAATACTATGGCATGAATGCCATGTTAAGGCATTCGTACTTGACTGGAAGTCTGTGTCTCTCTTATGGTCCTAGATACTGATAATTCAATTAAAAAAATTTTTTTTAACAGGGTTTCACTGTGCAGTACTGGCTGGCCTCAAACTCACAGAGATCTGCCTGTCACTGCCTTCCAAGTGCTGGTGTTAAAAGCACGTGCCAGTAGGCCAGGCCAAGAGTTCACATTCTGTGCTTTATAAGTAGCAGAATAGGCCACAAGTACCTGAGTAAGCATGTCTAGCTCTGCCTTACAGGCAAGCAGGCTCTACCCAGAGAGATGGAAGCAGGCTTTACCCAGAGAGATGGAAGCAGGCTCTACCCAGAGAGATGGAAGTGTGTTAGGAAGCATAACTGAAGCCATATACGGTGTTTCCCAACTCTGAGCCTCAATGATCTCTTCTGTCTATGTTACAGCCACCACTGCCTGCCATAGGCAGGAAGGAGCCCCTCTGTCTTTGGCAGTTCTGCAGATCTTATTCCTGGAGTGGCCTAAAAATCATTGGTGAAATGATAAGGGAACAGAAGAGGAGCCACGGCCTAGGCAGGTTCTTCCTCTCCTGCTTTTAAGTTCTCTGTGTGGAAAGAGGCCACCAGCTAGGTACTGGGAGGCCCCTCAGTGACCCTGATTTCCTGTCAGCTTTGAGACTAGTAAATGGTCCCTTAAGCTAATGGGAAGTGATAGGGAAGGTGTTTTTCCAGTTTTCAGGTACCTGGCTGTGTGAAAAGGGCAAGGGTAAAGCTTCCTCTTGTCCCTGCTCACTTAAATATTAGGGCAGGAGGAAGCCAGGGGCTTCTTCTGGTTTATAGTTCTCAAACTCAGAAACCAAGGCCTCTGGGAGCTGTGTTAGGACCATAGCATTTTAAACATCCTTTCTTCTAGAACTTTCTCTTGTATATACACTATCAGAGAAAGGGAGATTAGATTTCAAAGCATACAGTTTAGTGTTGCAAGATATTTGATTACATTGTGTAAAGATACGTTACTCTGATTGGTTTAATTTAAAATCTGAATGGCCAATAGCTAGGCTGGATTTCCAGGCGCAGAAGATTCTGGGAAGAAGAAGAGGGAGACATGAGGATGCAGAGCAAGCAGCATGGGCATTACAAAGTAAAGTGACTGAGCATGTAAAAGAAGTAGATGAAAAGAAACAGGTTAATTTAAGTTATAAGAGCTAGTTAGTGTTGGAGGAGGGGATAAGGGGTGGGGGGAGGTGGGGAGAGTGGGAGGAGGGATATGAGGGGGATCTGTGGTTGGTATGTAAAATGAATAAAAAATTTAAAGAAAAAGAAAAATAGAGCTAGTTAGAAACAAGCCTAAGCTACTGGCCAAGCTTTCATAATTCACAATAAGTCTCCATGTCATTATTGGGGAGCCACTGGCCCTGACCAAAAAAAAAAAATCTGCCTACAGTCTGGTGATATGAAAGTAGGTACAGTCTGCCTTGGCTGACACTGTCCTGCAGTGTGGCCTCCAGGGACATTTTTCATCTCAAGTGGGATGGACATCTATCAGTGGGGTCAAGACTCAAGAGTCTTCCCCTTCCCAGCTGGCCCTTAGAAGGATCCAGAAATATACAACTACTGGCTTTCCTTCTCCGACCTGACAGTTGTGTCCTGGGCATCGTGCCAGAGGGCAAAGCAGAGAGATGAACACCGTGGCTTCTAAGCCAACAAGGCCGACGGGGTGTAGACCAGTTCCTCCTGTGAACGGGTTTGTGAAGCTGACTCCTGCCTGGAGACTTCCACAGCCATCAGAGGTGACTCCCCTGCACTCAGCACCAGCATTGTCACAGAGGGTAGACCCAAGTCCTCCTGCTGTTCGGGAGAATGGTACACAGTTGAGTGAGGGGTGGGCTGAATCTTGATTCAGAGGGCAAAGGCTCTTTATCTGCTAATGCTAATCTTTCCACTGAGCAAGCAAACAGACACTTTAGCCCGGAAAGAGGGTCTAGCCTGGGGAGGGAAAAATGACACTCTAGCAAATAGATTTAGCCCCGACCGTTGTTGAACTGAGACCCACAGTTCCTGGTCTCCTGCCTCTGTTCTCTGTGAAGAATGTAGTTCCCCAGCTCCTCAGGCAGGTGGGCATTGCAGGCTGTTTCTTGATTAATCCCTGGTCATCCACAGCCTTGCTCTGCATGACCTTTCCTTCTACCCAAATCTGCCTGTTTGGCTTTGGGCTCCTTTCATTGGCCTGGGAGGGACAGACATGTCGACCACCTGCAGCACAGTGTCAGCGTGTGTATGACTGCTTTAAGAAAATATCCCTGCATCTTCGCGAGCTCCCGGGCTTTAACTTGGAACCAAGAAATTAGGTCTGTAGAGTTGAAAGTACGAGTTCCCAGAGCTTTACAAACCTCCAACTGTGTTCTGCCTTGCAACTTCGAGTAGCAGCCCATGTGCCACCCAGTGTGGCACCACACTGCCTCCTTGGCTATCTCCTCCAGACGCCCTGAAGGACACAGCATGTGGAGACCCGGAGAACTTCCAGAACCGCTTGTACCTTCTCCTGCCCATTCCTGATCACACCCCTAGCTCTCTGATTTTAAGGCGAGTATTCAGAACACTCAAGTAATTCTCAGGAAGTGACTAGTGGGGGCAGGGGAGGCTAGAGGACACCCAGCTATTCCTGCCTGCTTGGCTTCTGCCTTGTTGTGGGGTGGCAGGGGACACACCTTTAGTTTTGACCTAGACTGCCTCTGAATTAGCATGTATATCTGACTGATAGAGTTGGTATCCACCCAGCCATGCTGATAAAGGCTCGTGTGTGTGTGTGTGTGTGTGTGTGTGTGTGTGTGTGTGTAAAATGCTTTTGCTTTCTAATCCACAAACGTCAGTATGCATAGATAGGCTTGTGCACAGATATGTTGTCAGCTGATCTGGGACTTGTGCAGGGTCTTAAAAATATCGTTTAAAAATGTAAACTTTCCTCCAAAACTAACACCAATGTGAGCAGTATTGTCCTCCACAGTGAGCCCCTTTTACCTGGAAAGGTGTTCTGTTTTGAACACAGCCACAAACACCACCTTCTCTTAGTTTTTGCAAAAGCTCGGGTTCATTGGGGGGATTAAAAGACCTCCCTAACTTCAGCCTGCTTATCTGAGTAGCTGAGAAGCAGCCTGCTTCTGTGCATAAGAGTCAAAGAATAAACCGTGGAGCGGACGGAGAGCTGCTGGTCTGTCGCACGGTTGCTTGGAATTAGGAAAACGTGTAAAAAAAAAAAAAAAGTCTTCACAGTCGCATCAATTTGCAAGTATTATGAAGATTCCTTTTATTTATTTATTTTTTAAACAAACCGACTCACGTTCCTTACAGCGTCCGACATCGTCTTTATCCATCCCACACTTCTAGCTACCCTCTTCTCCCTGCCTTTGCCTTCTTCGAAGTATTTGCTTAGTTTTTGGTTTTGCTTTTCAAGGGGTGTTGACCTGTGTCTAGTTCTAGTAAACCGATCCCTCGGGCGGGCGCGGCGATTGGTTAACTGCGCGGCTGACTGACGCGGTATGGAGAGCGGCTCCCGGCAGCGCCGAGCTGATTGGCTGCGCGCGGGAGATCCAGGGCTCGGCCACCCGCACACCGCGCACTCGGGCTGCAGCGTCGCAAGTAGGTGCAGCCGCCCGCAGCCCGCCGCGCCTCCGCCAGCCGGGACGGC